TCCTCTCTCTCTCTCTCTCTCTCTCTCTCTCTCTCTCTCTCTCTCTCTCTCTCTCTCTCTCTCTCTCTCTCCACATTAGCGCGCGCGCACATACACACAGTTAGACACACATATACATATATACACACGCGCAAGATCAGACACACGCGTGCGACGTAAGTGACGTATGACTTGCGATTTTTTTCCGCGAGTCTCGCAAGGACATCGCGCGTGCACATCGTGCGTACGATGAATAAGGCGAATAAAAGACGGTCTTTCTCGATGCAAGCGCGCGAGAGTCCGTATCCGGGATATAAAAATATGCTGTTTCGTAACGTGACTTTACTCGCAATGCAACGAACTCTTTCCCTCAGTATAGTGATTCCGGAAACGACCGCCGTCAGATCGAGATTCGTAGCCCCGTGATTTGAGAGGATATCTGTCGAAATGCGAGGGAAAAAAAACGCCATGCACGCCTAGGCGATCTGAATAACAAAGTAGTTCTCGGTGAAAAGAATGATTAATGAGATTCCCGATAGTTTAAATCCGGAATAAGAAGCGTCACGGGAGTTTGGTGAGTCCAGAGTTCGAGGCTGTGGACATGCGAAAACGATCGTCGTTCATTTTTATGCGCGACACCGAAATTCGGACTCGAGTTTGACATAAAGATCCGTTTATGGCCCGCTCCGACAACCGCATTACTCAGAACTAATCGACATTTAATGAATTCCTATTCCTCCAATTATCTTTTTCACCTTTCGAAAGAAGCAAATAGCTAGCTGTCCGAATCTGACAATGAGTCCGACATTGCTCAATAATCCATGGAAGACCCATATTTCAAATCCCTTTTTATCTTTAGATAAAAGTATCTAGAAGAGTAGCTTATAATCAGCTAGACAGCTTATAAGCCATTTTTAGGAGCACTTTTATCGGTGAAAGAGGATTCAGAATCTGGATGCCTAGTAGCATCGAGAAATTCGATGATTATTCACCTCGAGTTTTCGTTTTCGGAAATTGCGTTTTCGGATGCTGCGAGTCGGCGACGGGTTGCGTCTCTTTTTTTTTTTTTTTTCTTTTTCTTTTCCGTCCGCTGGGGATTTCCTACTCGGAAGTCACGTCGCGCACGTTTGTCGAGTCGGATTACGCACACGGCTGATTGTCCTTCCGCGAAAATCACGGATCGCGATCATGTGTCACGGTGCACGCGCGCAAATCTACGCGCGTGAATTCGCGCCGCGCTTTCCTCGACGGATATTATTTACAGCGCGACGCCGGGTATTATGTTTCCTACGCGCGCGCATCGGAGGCGAATGCCGCCTCCGAAACCGTCGCCGTTTGCTGCAGCATCAATCGTCCTCGAATGCGAGGACATACGACTTCGATTCAAGCCGGCAGTAAATTAAACCCCCCCCCCCCTCATCGCGCTCCCCGATAATGGGAGATAAATATTACGGAATTATATGGAGAGACGATAAGATCAAAGATCAAAGAGCTTTCTTTTTATTAACTCGCACAACTGTTTTATCGGTGATATTTTAACTCTTATCAAGCGGAAATACACAATCCCCATCACAATCGTACCTTCTATTGACTGGTAAATATTGGCAGTGCGATAAGGGAGAGAGATAACGTTAGATTTCACACCCGAGGTGGGCACAAATCAATGTCCTCTTATACAAATGATAAATCGGCTCTCCCTCCCTCTCTCTCTCTCTCACTCAAGTTAGCCCACGTCCAATATTTGCGCAATCTATTTTTCCACACTGTTTTATATTGGTAAAAACTAATTTCGCGTGGAACATTCGTATCAGACGATGACTTAACAAGGCGCTCGTCCTTAGCGGATGCGGATTATTAACTTGTTTTTCTTCAAGAATAGCACACCGACGGTCGTTTTCCCGCCCGATTACTCTCGATATTTCCGTCATAACTTCGCGTCGACTGTGCGTTAACTATCGAAAGAAAAGAAAAAAAAAGGGAGGATTGGGGGGGGAGAGGAGGGGGAGAGAAATACATGTCCGAGTTTCGAAATGCCGGCCGCGCCGGCGTCATTTCTAGCGTCGCCGGCGAAGTTCTTCGCAATTCGGCGCGACTCTCATAGACGCGCGGGGCTATCGCTGATACTGCTCTTTGCCACGCTGATAAAGTCCGCGGCTAGAGCTGGTGGCTACGGTCGCCTCGCGCGTTTCATTGAAATCTTCGCGCGATTACGGGCGCCGATTGCGTCGCGAAAGCCGCACGAAAGCCGATATGCGCGTTACCGCCTCTCCGTCGCGTTCGTACACGCGAACCCGCGTGTACGACACTTTTCTAAACGAGTTCATCGCGCGGCTTTCCTCGCCTGTGGCGGTCGAGCAGATAAGCGCTTAATGAGCGGAGATCCGATTATTAAGCGCACACTCGAGGTACAGGTCTCTCCGCTTTTGAGAAAAAATCCCGGGACTGGCCGCTCTGAATTTTCGTGATTTTTTTTTTTTAAGAGCGCCCGCAAGGGTGACGATAAGACTCGAAATATTGTGACAGACGGTTTTTTCCAAAGATATCTGGATACAAATGTGCAAGTCAGAAGTGTTTCTTTTCTTCTTTTTTTCTTTTTCTTTTTTTCTCTTTCTTAATGGAAGGAGAGGGGAAGATCATCTTCGGCGGGATACAAATGTAAAAGTTACGATTGTGATATAAACCTGTATCTACGCTCTGGAGATTAAGAATAACGAAATAAAAATTAAGAATTGATCTTGATCTTTTTCTTCTGTTCCGATTAAAATTCGAATCTTCAGTCTGATAAGAACTTTTAAAGAGTCTCAGTCTTATTTCGTCAGGCTTATTTTCAAAAAGTACAAGAGTTAGGAAACGACATAGATCTCTTTTGATTTGTATGAATATGACGTGGATTGTTTGAAAAGATTATCACAGATAATACAGATAGGGCACTTAGGATTCTGAATCCGTCACTATCTTTATCCGGATAAGGCCGAGATCGCGATGTAAGTGTCGCTTAGACTTAGATTCTTTTTCCAGATCTATGCGTTCCCATACATCAATCGCTAGCGGTCATTAATCGCTAGTGACGACAACGATAATATCCACTCGACGATCTTACGCGTGACAGAATACTGTTGACGTAGAAACATATTTTCCGTAAAGCTATTTGTATTTCGTTTCCAGATACGCAAGGATAAGTAAGGTGTCGTCGAGGCGCTCGATAATTCGTTGCTTTTACGTTTTGTTTACATTTACTTTTATTGCAAAGCATGCTCGTGATACCTTTCTGTAACCTTGCAGATTAAATTCCATAAAATCGAACGATAAAATTATCATGAAATTGAACCCAGTTATGTCATTTTCTTAGAAGGATTCGGACAAGGATTTAAGCAAGGACTCAGACAGGGACTCAGACTAGAAGATAAAAGCGCAGGACAGAAAAGCGCATATCGTTATCGCTTTCGTGTTTTGTTTTGTCTCCCCTTCTATATTTCACGCTAGAGTCTTTTGGAATCCGATCATTTACGATTAATGCGAAAATTGAAAACAGCGTTACTTTTTACCGAGGAAGAAAAAGAAACGCGCGGACGTAGAGCGCGCGAAGAATCGAATCTGTCATCCAGATATTCGTCGACTTATAAATAGAACGGTCACCGTAATAAAATAAACGCGCGCGAGTAATTCCGTAACGGAAGATAAGCGCAGCCTCCGCGCGGACCGCGCGCGTGTCTCCCGTTTCGAGTGCGTTTCGAGCTTTCTTCCTCTCTCTCTCTCTCTCTTTTCTCTTTCCTTTTGCGTCTCGTGGCTGCCGTCGCGTCACTTGCATACTCGTTAGAAACGTGACACCGTGTTTGCGTCGAATTCGCCGTTATCGGCCACCGTGACGGAGGCGGATGCTCTCGTTGCAATTCCTCTCTGGGCTCGCGGTCTGTCAGATTCAATTCGGAGTCACATCTAATTCTGGATGCTTTACGTCACCACGAATCATAATTGAGATTTGATAAATCGACTATTTTGAATTTTAAGCGCGATCAAGTATCGATCAATAAGAGAGAGAGAGAGAGAAAGAGAGAGAGAGAGAGAGAGAGAGAGATGCAATGATACTCTAAATAAAAAGTTACCAATTTTGATCTGAAAAATTATTTTCTTTTTTTCACGATAGATAGAAAAAAAATCGTGCGAGTTTCGACACATTTTAATGAATTTTGGTACATTTTACAGATACACATGCTTTATCGCGACATCTCTTCAGTTTAGTGATCCTATAACTCATCGTTTCAAATTTTTACACGTGTTCTCTCTTATTATTTTCTCATTTTCTTTTATTGACGATTCACGAATGACGAATAGTATTATTAACACGATAATATTTTTTCGAACGGATGATAATACGGAATATCCGCGTGATGCCGATCACGTTTTTATGCGCGCGCGAAATTTATAAGCGGCGAAAATTATCGGTTGGTCGAAAATTATGCCCGATGGTTTATATTAACTCGCGAACACGCTTATGAAAGATATTCCCGATTCCGGAGTCGGGACGCACCTACCACTCCTTTCTCTTTGTCGTGATATACGCCTCTCCGTGGGACGCGACGACGGTCGTTCGCCTACACGACACATCTCACGACTTGTCAAACAACCTCTCGAATCCGCTCGACTCCTCGCCTAGCCTCGCCTCGTGGCCTCTTCGTATCAATTATCATTGAGTTATTTACCTACGCACCTCGCCGTCGTTTACCTAATTTCATAGCGGCGTGTCCTCCCACTTTGCCGCTCTTGGCTCGCTTATAAAACAAGTATTAAATCTCGGAGGAATCACATGCGTGTTCTAAAAATAAAATATATTTGAATGACTAGACGCGATTAATATTAGAGTCTTGCGTCCTTCTCCCGCGTATATGCTATATTGATTCATTCAGAATTGACACCGTCTAATAATATCACGTATCGATAATTTCTTCTTGCAGTATTGGGCATCATCTGCTATTGTGACGGACATTGCCCGGACGGCAAGCAAAATGGGACCTGCGAATTACGACCCGGAGGTTACTGTTTTAGCGCCGTGGAAGAGGTATGGGACTCCGAGCTGAGAGAATACGTTCCCGAATGGTCGTTCGGTTGCTTGCCGCCCGCCGAGAGTGGTTTCATGCAATGCAAGGGAAATCAAGTTCCTCATTATTTAGACAAGAGCATAATTTGCTGCAATCACACAGCTTTGTGCAATAAGGATCTGTTTCCCGAAATAACTTACAAGTCACGTCCTACTATGGAGACCGATACGCGAATGGTCATTGCATCGGGAGCACCATTAATCATCTTGGTAGTGGCACTATCAGCGGCTTTGGTGATCGTTGTAATAGCGGTAGGAATCATGTATCATAAATGCCGGAAGAAAGAACGAGATCCGTGTCTGGTGCAATCACAAGGAACTCTTAAAGACCTGATAGATCAGAGCAGCGGATCGGGCTCGGGATTGCCGCTCTTGGTACAACAGACGATCGCGAAACAATTAGCCATGTCCCAATGTGTGGGAAAAGGACGTTACGGTGAGGTATGGCTTGCCAGATGGCGAGGTGGCGAAAAAGTGGCGGTGAAGGTTTTCTTCACGTTAGAGGAGGCCTCGTGGTTCAGGGAAACGGAGATCTATCAAACTGTCCTTATGAGACATGATAATATCCTGGGCTTTATCGCTGCTGACATCAAGGGAACTGGCTCTTGGACTCAAATGCTGTTAATTACGGATTATCATGATAGGGGTTCCTTGCACGATTACTTGCAGACAACTGTATTAGATCATCAGGCTCTACTGACGATCTGTTCGTCAATCGCATCTGGTATCGCGCACTTGCATACCGAGATATTCGGTACGCAAGGAAAACCCGCGATAGCTCACAGAGATATTAAAAGCAGAAATATTTTAGTTAAGAGAAACGGAGAATGTGCCATAGCTGACTTCGGGTTGGCCGTTCGTTATTTCAGGTACGCAAACAGTTGACACTTAAAGTTCAAAAATACAGCATTGGCATCCTTCTTTTAAATGCAAATTGACAATGAGATATTTATCTTTTTATAGCGAGAGCGGTGATATTGACATCGCGCCAAATACTCGAGTGGGCACGCGGCGCTACATGGCACCGGAAGTATTGGATGAAACCTTGAATACATCCTCTTTCGATGCATTCAAAATGGCAGATATGTATTCTGTCGGTCTCGTATTTTGGGAAGCATGCAGGAGATGTGTTACGGGTGGTAAGAATTCTATGGTGGAGCCTTACGCCTTGCCTTATCACGATGTCGTACCAAACGATCCGGACTTCGAGGATATGCGTTTGGTAGTCTGCGTGAAACGATTACGTCCAGTTATCCCAACGAGATGGGATAACGATGCGGTAAGAGAAACAACCTCCTTAAAAAAAAAACGAATTTCTGATTATAATTATCTTTTTTACGAATCAAATAATGGATCGTTTTCTTTCTCACAGGTTCTATATGCGTTAAGCAAAATGATGTCAGAATGTTGGCATCCAAATCCACCAGTTCGTTTAACTGCTCTTCGTGTTAAAAAGACATTGTCAAAACTACACATTGATAATATTAGCATCAAGATCGTGTAATGACGTGATTATGAGAAACGGACTCTTCTAGCTAAACTTCCTACTCTTGTAAATATTCCCTTAGTGTACATAGAATTGTTGACAGACTGCAACCTGAAGACTGATGACTAAAATTTATAAATATATAGGAAAGAAAGTATATGAATGAGTGTGTGCATAAAGTAATGAATGAATGATGTATATTATGTGTGTTGTGTGTGTGCGTGCGCGTCACATACGTATAAATATTCGTATAAAGTGTCTCTAATTCCGTGCGTTTTCACTGAAAGATTTTTTTCACACTGAAGATATCTTTAAAGGCAAAATAATCACGGAAAATTTGGAGCGTATTTTCTTTTTATATTTATATCAAAGCTGTACATACAATTTAGATATGCTTCATGTTAAAGTTTGTTGGATATGTTATCAACGAAGGCTTTCTATTTAGAAAATATCATGTTTACAGAAAAGCGAAATTGTTTTATTGTTTTTAACTTTATAAAATCATGTAAAATAGATTCAGCATGTGAAAGTATCGAATATGTAAAATACGTCTCGTGATAACATCGCCTTATTTTTGTTTCGATCTAGGAAATGTATAACGTGCCTAATGAGATCTTATAAACTAATAACGAAAAATCTCCAACTTGGAAATTTAAAAATTAAACGTTAGATGCGCGCCTTATTTGTTTTCTGAATTATATATTTTTTAATAAGATAAAATTCAGATCAATTTTATGTTGCAACTATGTACAACGGCTATGTTTACAACATACTATGAGTTGACATAAAGAAAAATATATAATCATCTACATTTAGTTAATCAAAAAATATTCCGAAGAGAATACAAAGTAAAATATTTTGACACAACCTGTAATCTAATTTGTGATATTACATACATACATGAAAAATATTAGTTATTAAAATATATGATTTTATATGAAGTGAACAAAACAAATGAATACGGAAAAGCGACAAATTAAATCTCTTACATAGCCTTTTTAAAGCTGTTATGAAATTATAGCAATATAAAAAAGATATATTAATATGTAATACATTTGTTATAATTCTTTAAAGAAGTAATTTATTATTTAATCGATAAATTTTATTAAAAGAAACGAATAATGAGTTTTTAAAGATTATTTTTTTCTTTTAAGGCGAATTCGGACAGCAAATAAGAATAACGTATAACGATACTATTTATCAAGTAACACAATTTTTTAAATTTCCCCAAGTTGGAAATCTTTCTTTGTAAATTAATACTATCTTGCGGCCTATGTCATATATTTAAGAAAGAGAGAGAGAGAGAGAGAGAAATGCTCTTTTAAGTACCTCAAAATATATTTATTATTGAAGATAACAGCTCATAATGTACGAATTGCGCATACGAAATTGCTTCTCATGATCTGTATAAATATATATATATATATATATATATATATATATATATATATGTGTGTGTGTGTGTGTGTGTGTAATATAATTTATATGTATAATCATAGGTCATGATTATTACGCGCAATTTAATGAAATAACTAATTGAAGATTGAAGATTGACAAAATTTATACGTTATATGAAATAGAATTTGCACATTAGCTGACGACTGTAAATTATCGTGCGCAAGCTTATATTATTTGTACAATTTTGTAATTTATATTTCTAACTTGTGCAAATGAAACACATATTAATCTATTTCATATACTATCTTGGGCCATATATGTGATTGAATGTCGATCATCCCAAGATGTGTTTTCATTACGCTGCTGATGTACTCTCCGAATTTTTATGCTTTTGTACAGAACAAGTAATTAGAAGGAAATTATGGAAGAGATAACAATTACGTAGTGCAATAGTAATGTATAAAGATACAATGTGATTTTAGGAAGGCAATGTAATTTTGCATATCCCTTCAAACTTGTATAGCATTTATTGATCGAAATCGTAAATTAATCAAAAAATTGTTAATGTATTAAAAAATTATAAAACTGATTTCTCTTCCTTTTCTATAAGTCTTAGAGATTGCTTTCATCAAGTTGACAGTTAAGATCGTTGTATTATGTATGAAATTTCTGCATGTGATTAAACAAAACAAGAAAATAGAAATTGTAGGTAATTTTGATTGGAAACAATGAAATTTATATTTTTAAAAAATATTAAATATTCATCTTTTTCTTAACGTATCCTTTGTTGTTGAAAAGTATGTAGCATCTTTTTTTTATAATTTATTTTTCACTTTGTTTCAATGCTTGCAAACGAAATACAGCTATTTAATTGTATGTTAACATCAACTTGTTTAGTAAAAAAAGAAAAAAATGCAACTGCACAGTTTATTAAATATTTTACAATAAAAAAATAATTCCTGAATAACTATAAAAATAAAAATAATTTTATTATAAATAGTTGTTTCAAAATATAGTTAGCAGAATTCAAAAATATATGATTGAATCGATAGATACCCAAGATAAACAGGAAGTTTCAGATTCAAATCCTGGCTGAAACAATATTTTTTGCAATAAGAATTTTATGTGAAAAAAAAAGGAGATAATCGATATATATATTTCATCGATTTATTAAAGACGAAAATTTTGTCCTAGCTTTGAGTCGTTTACAAGTTTATTAAAAATAATTCTTATTAAGCATTTTTAAACGGTTAATAAAAATTATTTTTTTCTTCACAATTGCTAAAAGATTTATCACTCTACATTGTGTTTTGCGATAAGAACTGTAAATATGAAAATACCGGATTTAGAAAATGTCTATTGTGCAGAAATTATGTTTTATATATTTTTATGGTAAAAATATACACGAATATATAATTTGTTCAAGAATTCCAAAAAGAAGATGAGTGACGAATATTATCATCATTATTAAAATAATGATAAATATAAAAATATATGCACATGTTATATTAATTTTTTTTAAATTTTTTCGATCTCTTCTCATATTTGAAACATGTGTGTATGTGTGTAAGCAAAATATTTCTAATTATTTATTTATACGTCAATTTTATATTTTTGTAATTATTTATAGATACGACAAATATTTGGACATTATGGGATACGAACGAATGGAAAAGACGAACGTGAGTATCCATTTTGTAAACGCAAACGACGACCAATCGTGTCTCGTCGGCTTCGTTGAAACTGCGTTCAAAAAATGCACGAAATTAAAAAATTAAAACATTCGAAAACGCCCGTCATTTACCTATTCGTGTATATTCATCATTTTCAAACTAATCGTAATTCAAATAAGATAAGATAAAATCGAAAGATTCAATAAAAATAAACGACATTTTGGAAATGCAAATTAAACCAAGTTAGGGTAGGTTTTTCGTTTTCGGAGATTTCAATTGGCAGTACTGGCTCCAACACAGGAAGAGACGCGACGTTCTCATCGCGTCATCGTGCATTTCCGTTTCGCCATCTTTTATCTCCGGGAAGCGTGTGTCGTTTCGCGTCCTGTCTTATCGCGTAGTTTTACGGACTACTGACTTGGTGAGTACCAAAGCATAATTTTTATTCTGTCAACGCGATAAAGGCGCGCGCGCGCGCGAATAATCGCGATTATTCGAAAAGACGAAAACGCAAGCGGACGGTCCCGCACGTCATTGCGGACGCGACTCCGACATTCCGCTCGATTCGATCCGGCGCCGTCTAGCCGGTCTCGCTTCGCGCGACTTCCCGCACGCGTTCCCGGTTCGAGTCGCCGGTACTTCGATCGATCTTCGTGATTTTTTGCGGGCGGACGCACGTCCGCTGGCTGGAAGTTGGGAAGTCACGTTCATCTCGTAGCGGCGACGATTTCCGGGAATCGGGCGAGGCGCCGCGTGAAAGTGCGTCGCGCGCTTCGATCGCTGCGCTTCCATTGTCACAAGATAGCGGCGGCGACGGAGGAGATGGAAAAAGGAGATTGTTTTGGCGCCGTTCGCGAGGCACCTCATATAAATCACGTCTCGTTTCCGCGTTCGCGTACGACACGATGGAGATCGACGTCTCTCGACGATCGTTACGAATTTGGATTCCATTCGGTGATTCGCGAGATTAAAGTTATCGACGGGCGGGACGACGCCTCCTCGCGGGGCGCGATCTATCGTCTGTCCTTGTCGCGTTCTCTCTCGCTCGAGCTCCGTCGCGGTAATTTTCCATCGCGCGGCAACCTCGCGATCGAAGCGGCTTCTCATGTCTCGGATGATCCTTAAATCCTGATCATGTATCGCTCAAATGTAATCGCATTCGTTTCTCTTCGCACCCGTGCTTTCGCAAAGTTAATAATACTCGATAATGCGCGAGCTTCCGGCAAGTTTCCAATTATTGCGTATATTGTTTTGTCGTGTAAATCCGCGATTTTTGGCAGGCCAACATTGCTCGGAAATGTGAACTTTTCTAATTGTGATATATATTTAATTGAATAAGGTCTAATTTAGCGTATGGATAGTAAATTATTTGTTTTATTGTCTTATGAAATAAATAACTCGAGTTTTTAGTCAACTTGAAAATTTGGCATGAAGAAAACAGATAAAAATGCACCGTCATACTCTGACGTTACTTCTAAAAATATCGCGTTCAAGTAGTACTATTAACAAATACATCGAACTCTGCATATATTTGCAAAATTGGGTGGATAATGAATCCCTATTATTTCCAGTCGAGACGCTTTTCGTTTCAACTTGTGTTACTATATTGCAATAAATATATTTTATTCATTTTATATATATAAACACTCTTTAATTCATTATTAATGAGGACAACATTTTACTTATCATATGATAAATTTTTTGAACATATTGTTTGACTTTATAACAATGTTTTCAAAAATTTTCTTTTTTTATCAATAATTGTGTACGATAAATTTTTGGAATGTGTTAATTGATCATTTAATAGCGAAGTTTACAAGTTTAAAAAATGTTTCTATTTTATAATCAATTAACATGCTTAAAAATGTTGTACGACAAAAATTTTGAACATGATCGGTTACAAGCTAAAAGATTTATGAATGTTCTTAAAATTTCATTATTAGAGCCAACGCGTTTAAAAAATTCGTTAGCCTATTCTAATTTGTCGTATGAAAAATTTTTTGAACATATCAATTGGCTCTGCAAGTGAAGCTTTTGATTTTTTCTCTATCTTGTAACCAATCAACGCATTCAAAAGTTCTATCGACAAATGAAATATTAGATCAATTCTGTTTTCAATATCTTGATTTTCAATTTTTAAAAATTTCTGATTTGCCATTTCCGTTTTCATCATATCCGGGCTCTAGTTCGTTACAAATCGCTCCCTATATCTTTTGCGAATCTCGTTAAGAAATGTAGTAGTATTAAACCCGTTAATTACGTGGCGGAAGAAGGCGATGTGTAGTGAATCGGAGGGAACGAATGCGTGGTACGTGCCGGTCTTCCCGCTCTGTTTGACACACGCACAGGCGTGACGTCAAACTATCTGGAAGAACGGCAGCTGTAAAAATGGAGAGTTAGGATTTTCCCGCGCTCGAGAAGCGCTGCACGCCATTGGTTCGGGTGCTTGCGCCTAGGCCGCTTACCATTGGTCTGTGCCGTCGCGTCTCCACCAATCGCCATCTCGTCAGCAGGCGCGCGATGGATTGCGGAACGCTGAATGCGACACGGATGTCGAGCGAGACGCGACGAGCGGGACGCCATTATTAGCGTTGCGTTCATCGGCGGTGTGAGTTGTTTCGTAGATCTGCTACGAACATCGACGAAACCGAGTATCGTGTGAGCTTCGTTCATCGTTTTTCTCCCGCGTCCGACGAATCGCGTGTCCCAACGTCCCGAAAGTTCCACGCGGATTTTCGGTACAGTATCGGTCATCCGTCGACGATATCGTGAACAACGTTCGACCACAGGTATGTACTTTCACGTTGTCGGAGCTTTACAGCGAATTTTTTTCCGTCGCCGCTCCCCGCGCGGCGTTCCTGCCGCGCTCAAGCTTAACATCTCGAGTAGCGAGACGCGTTCGTATTAGAAATTGTGAGAACGTGTCGCGCGCGCACTACGCGTAAATTAGTCCGTCAGAGAATCGTGACAAGATGGAGGAAAGGGAAGCGTCGGGATCGAAGTCAAACAATCGCGTCGCTCTGATTTCCTTCCCTCCAATTGACCGGTGGGGTCGAGCCGTTCCGCGGGATTGCGCCATCGAGCGAAAGAGACCGTTGCGCAAGAATCGCAAAGTCGGGGAACGCTATTTGCGAAAACGAAAATTTAAATTTTTTTTTTCTTTCCTTTTTTTTCTTTCCTTTGTTCTCCTTGTTTCGGGGTAACCTTGAGAAAATCTGAGCGAATCGAGTGCGGCTAATATTCGCCGCTATTACCAATTTCATTCCACATGACGAGACTGGCGTAATTAATTAAATCAATTCCAAGGTCGACCTCTGTAGATGTTTGCGTTGAATAAACATGGGGATCACGCATTTGTAGCATCTAGATCCCAGATATCCGTACCGGTATTATCCGGCTTTTAATGCTTCGCTTTAGCGACGCAACGCCATGCGGCGCGGGCATCTCTGAGTCGCTCGCCGAATTCTATGGCGGCGTGAACATGGCGGAGACGTGTACGCCAAATGGATTGGCGTCGCGTGGTATATCAAGAACGCAACGCTGCAGATGGACAATCGAATGAAACTACATGCTTCTATGTTCCTGCAATTGTCTAGAATTGTGAAAAAATTGCTATCTCTAAAATTGTAATGCAATTCTAGATTTTTTATGGCTGAACTTGTATTGAACATTTATACATGAAGTGAAGCATATATATTTGAAGTTTGGGGAAAACGAAAATTTTGGGGAGAAAAAAATTTTAGTGCAACCTGGGACAGCGATAAGAAAACAGGTCTTATTAGTTATAATGCTAGTCACTTATCTTGTACCGATATCGCCGCAAACAAATTTTCGGCGGCGTATCTTGATAAGTATCGAATGCTTTAGTAATTACGTAAGAGAGAAAATAAAAATATATAGTCTTAAGCTTAATTATATAGATATTATATAAATTGCATGGAAGGAAACAAAGAGGAGAATTTTTGTTCTTATGTATACATCTTTGTGATATTAGGTTCTTGTACGAGCCGCAAAATGCCGGGTTTTAGCAGCGTTGGCACGTTTAAAATCTTCATTGGTAATTTAGCCGACAAGACTTCGAATGCGGACATAAAGCCATTATTCGAGAAGTATGGGAAAGTCGTGGAATGCGACGTGGTAAAGAATTATGGCTTCGTGGTAAGTGTTGTATCAACCGAATCCGAGTACTTCGATCAATACAATCAGACAATAGTGTATAGTGTTAGTAAGACTGATGGTAATATTAATAAATTAATGTTTCTTTTATTTGCATAGCATATGGAAAATGAGGAGGCAGGCCGAAACGCGATACAGAATCTGAATGGACACATGGTTCATGGGCAACCGATCAAATGCGAGGCTGCAAAGAGTCGCAAGGGACCCAACACTCCCACAACTAAGATCTTTGTCGGCAATCTCACAGACAACACTAAGGCGCCGCAAGTGCGTGAACTGTTCGCCAAGTACGGCACCGTTGTTGAATGCGACATTGTACGAAACTACGGTTTCGTTCATCTCGAGGCAACTGGCGACGTCAACGACGCTATTAAGGAGCTCAACGGGCAGATCGTCGATGGACAACCGATGAAAGTCCAGATTTCCACTAGCCGAGTTCGACAGAGGCCAGGCATGGGCGATCCAGAGCAATGCTACCGATGCGGAAGAGGCGGTCACTGGTCCAAGGAGTGTCCCAAAGGAGGGATGGGAGGTGGACCGGACAGGAATGGATACAGGGACCGAATGTTTGGACGTGACCCATATCCTCCACCGCCGCCACCACCGTTCCTACGGGACCGGCTAATGGGTGGTGGCCGCTTTGGGGTAAGTTTCCTTCTTTTGCTAATTTTTTTACATGTCTTACTGCCGCGTATATACATTTGGACCGTTTGTGTTGTTATCGTGTTGGATTGTGCACGAACACGCAGGCGAGATCACATTTTCTTCAAATTAATTTTGTTGTTTTGTTAACAGGATTATGAAAGCTACTACGACAGGCGCGGCTTCGAGGACACCAGGGACCTCTACGAGAGGCGGTTTACGGGTATGACAGGGCCCAGTGACATGGGAACATCCATGTGCGGGCTAGACTTTCCACCAATGACAATGCCACCTCTACCTCCAAGACGAGACCCAATGCCTCCTATGCCTCCTCTAGGTATGGGATCCATGCGTGACACTGGCTTCTCCCGTGGCAATGAGTATGGAATGTTCAGCCGCCGATCTCCCCCTCCAAGTGGCAACAACGGCCGGTTCAGGTGAGTAGGTACCCGGCGTACCGACTGCCCATTCGTCCGACTTAACATTGTGAACGTTCCAGGCTGGATTAACAGCTCATGCGAATTGGGGTTTCGGTGATTCGTCGACATTTTTCTAGTCTGTTGCACATTTTCTTTCTCTTATAGATTTCGGCTTGTATCTCCTTATAGTATTTTTCCTTATTTTTTTTTTTTTTATTTTATTCCCACAAATTAGTGAATGTTAAGTTATGGAGAAGCGATCGCGTGATTTACAATGTTCACTTCACATCTACTTCATTACAAACCTGTCCTTTTCGTTAAATGTATCGCCACACTCTTTTTATCTCTTCCTTCTGTCTTCTTACTTTTTCTATCATTGAACGTCAAACGGAACTTCTTCTCTCTGATAATGTTATCGCGCGGCACCAACGCATGTTGATTATCGTCTATGCAAATTATTACTTTCTCGTACTAGAGATTTTAAAACTTTTAGTACTTTTACACGTACCAGTGTCGACCCGATGCCCACATGAGTGCAGACTCCGTCGTAGTGAAATGTTAATTATATGACGCTTGGACGTTTCTGTACATTCTAAATTTCAGTGCACCTCAGGCGTACCATCTTTGTCCATGAACGCGGGCAACCCTAGAGAGACAGTCCCGGGTCAGCGTTCAAGTCGTAAAAGAGTAAGTCTTTGACTCATTTTGTTAGCGAGTAGTCACGCCTCGTTCTTGTCGCTGCAACAACAACCCGCGGTCAGAAACACAATAGCAGCCGCCTATTGCGTCGCGTCTGCGTCCCATGGTGTTCGAAATCTTTTTCCGGGTCTCGACTGATTGTTCCTTGAACATGTCGACTGCTCTTCTAGGGATGTCCTAGTTCATAGACTCTCTTGCTCCATGGCATTAACTGCGAAATTGGCCTGTATGTCTCTCACTGAATCCTTTGTGTTTCAAGCGCTCCCTATTACGTACATCACTCAGCCGGGAGTGGCGCGGAGGCCTGGGATGAAGAGACGTACCTAAGGAATGCGAATTAGAATTTCTTGATCGCACTACCGCGAGCCAGGATGCGCTCAGCAATTTTAAACGAAACTCTCGTACGCTGTAGATAGAGAAAAGAAAGAAAAAAAAAAAGCAAACAGGGCTGGCGCGATTTTGGAATGGCGCATCGAATCGATTGTCTTTGAAACGTGTCGTAAGTAGAAACCAGCTCTCCAGACGAATTGGACCAGTAAGTTTGTACACGAGATATCTCCCGTAATCTTTCCAAGCCAGTTTCACAAACTTACGAACATAAACATGTAACATCGATTCGATTGGATCTAATTGATTCAATTTTTCTGATGCGCAAACGTTTCTTTTATCAATTAAAATCATATATTATCTTTTTTGAAAATAAAACATTCGCTTAAATTCGCAAAAATGTTATATTAGTGACATTAAAAGTAATTCCAAATTAAATCTTAGAGTACATTTTTCTTTCTTTGTTTGTTTTTTTTTTTTAGTATTGATAAAACGTTGTATATTTTTTTCTTTGTGCAGTACATATTTTGCAGTTGTAATATATGCTATAATTTCCTATGTTACAATTGCTTTTTTTCTTGTTATTTTGTAATCTTGCTCGTTGCATTAAATAATCACGCATTAGATACATAAATTTTCAATTAAAATCATATCAGTCAATTCATCCGAAATCGTGTATTAAATGTATGCTTAAGACTTCGTAGAATCAACAAAATTATCATAAATTCGGTTAAATCGGAATTTCGCGAAAGAAATGACAGAAATGTCGCGAAAAGAGATTTTGAATTTGTCCATGCTTCTCGAAATTGTGATCCATAGTTCTTGAAGTTGACTTCTACTCACGAGGTTCAAAGCTTTTCATGTATGTAAATCCATTCGCAAAACGTTCAAATAGAAAACAGAATTGATTGAATTTCTCAGTTTTTCTAAATACTTTGAATTTGTTGTTGCACGTTACCACCTCATTACCCCATATTATCCCAGCCTGGGCTGCAAATGGCTCTTATCTTTTTACGATAATACTCTTATTATCTTTTTTTAATATTTTTTTTTTGCGAGAAGCTGTTATTTGACAAGTCGCATGGGTTACAAATCCAGTCTACCGCTGCCTGCCTCATATGACTAGCCATGTTCCACAACTTCCACGTTCTCCTGGCCACCAGCCCTCCACTTTACGATCGAGTTGTACAGATAGCGTACCACTATAATTGTTTGCACTCCGCTGTCGTAGGTTTTTCTAGTTGTTAAGCGTTCCCGTTGCGTTACTGCGCTCGAGTCTGCGAACGATTGCTAGTCGTACGTCAGCGAAGGCTTATCGAATCCACTTTTCGGCAGAAACGTCAAAATTTTTCTCACACACGCCTGTGCGCGCGCGTACGTGCATGCGTATATGCGTGTGTACATCTGTTTTTTAGATAGGAAATTTCATGATAAATTTGATAATCTGCGATATGAAACTCTGACAATTTCTGGTCCGAATTCTCGAGGTAGCGTGATAGGCATGAAACATTCCGTCCCCGATCCTAAAGTCGACAGTCATATTAGGCGAGGCACGCGAATCTTGCACGTGATTATATATGTATATACAGGGACTAATTCACAAAGTTAAGCCTTGGACAAGGGAGCCAGTATATGGTATATGTTGATCTGATCTCATTGGTAGATTCGATTATTTATTATACCGCTGTTATAGTAGAGGCATGTACGAGGACTTCAGCCGAGATTCGTTTGAAGAGCGTAGGTAAGTAGAGTGAAGTGCCATTGGGTTATAACCACGCCCGAATTGAAATCCTCTGATAAACCGCGAGATTTAGAAACAATAATAATTCGCCCTCTTCTTTATGTCACGATCGTACCAAAGCAACAACGCTTTTGCTTCTGCTAAAAACAGATTTGTAAATATCGAAGAATTCTTTTTCATTAACATTACTTTTCATTACTCCATCTTCTTGTTCCGTCTCGTATGACGAATGGTTGAATATTAGTGTTGATTTGACTAATATTTAATGGCAATAAAATTGCTTTCTGAGAATGCTTGGCTTTCAACCCGGTCTTTCATAAAGAAGAGTGTTCGATGGATGAAGAACGAACACTGACGCGAATCACGCGAGCATTCCTCTTGTCGTAAAATTCAGTAAAAAGGTTTAGCGAGAAAAACGAGGTATTTTTCAACTTGTATATGTCAATTCCTCTTTTCTCTCTTCTACATATATAATTTTTTTAAAATTTTTTTTCCTTTCCCTTCCCATTATATCATTTTACAATATTTCACTCTACGTACGTACTCTATATTACCTTACATTTCTCTCTCTCTCTCTCTCTCTCTTCTGTTGTACTCTCGTACCACACAGATGTATTACCTTTAATATTTACATCTGTATTCTGTCCGTGCTTTGATCCGCATCATCGATCTCGTGACTGACGTGACATAATTTTGATTACCAGACCGGGATTACGAGGGCCATCGCCGTCGCGCCGGTTCGCACCATACTAAATCGTCGCGTCGGGCTCGGATCGGTCTCAGTCGGTCGTCGGTCTGTCGGGTCTGTCCGTCGCTAGCAGGAAGCCTCGGAACCGAGATACTCTTGGCCGTCTTGCGAACTGCACGCGTGAAGATCTGCCGCCCGCTCTATGAGAAAACAAGTGCTCTACCCGCAGTGCGATCTAATTTAGACGAGAGATAGTAGTCATAATAAACCTCCCGAGACACGCAAAAGATAGAGCAAATTACGAAACACACCCAGCCGAAAGTAGCGAAGTACGCAAAGGTTTTATGAAAATTATCATCCCCCATCTGACGAATTCCTCGTATCTCTCTCCCCCCCCCTCTCCCCCCCGCCGAGACTCCCGGCTTATCGATCCTCTCGTATCTCTTGTTGTCCAATTCCTCCGCACCCCTCCACCCGCCCGTCTCTTTGTCATTTGTATAAAGTCAGGTATTTTCGACGTGTGTCAAAATGTAGACGCGGCTCCATCGGAAAGATATCTCGATCCTCCACCGATCAAAACCGATCCTCGCTGCTTTTCTGAAAAAAAGTCCCTTGCTTTACCGCGAGAAACGCGGACCTACAGTAAAAATCTGTGATTCAGAACAGGGAAAAAAACAAGCCAAATAAATTATAGTAGGATCGACGAGTCTTTCCGGTGGGGCCGCGTCTCGCAGCGGTCGAATCGCCGATCGTTTTCCGGTTTTCTGTGATGACGACGCATCGTCCTCCTCCGTTGCGTCGCAACGATAAGCTCCGGTGATCGCGCGCGTTACGCATCCCCCTTCCACGAAAATCGCTGAACGTATAGATATGCATCACTGTAAGAAGCCATGTTTAAACGGGAAACGCTTCTCGTGACACCGAGACACACCGCCGTCGATCGTCGTCCATCTCGCGCGCAATTGCGTTGCCGAGGTGGTGGACCAAGCAAGTCGGTCGAATCGCCGAAAAGCGACGCCCGCCGAATATCTCCCGCCGATATTGTTCAGCGTGTCGAATGGATGCGAAAGAAACCCGCCCGTCGGGAAACAACGCGAGCTATATTCATGACGATACCACAGTCTGTCTGAGAGCGGTACTCGTGATGATTATCCCTTGAGGAATGAGGATAGCTTTGCTCCTACACGTATGCTTGTACATATTCCCCGTGATTTATATTTCGATCTGCATCTTTGTGCAAAAAACGTGCGCTAAAAATCGTCAGGTCCGTGACTTGCATCTTGACTGAGAGAATTGTAATCTTCGATTGTAACGGAAATGTCGCGTGTACAAGCACATGCATGTGTGAGAAAGAAATTCTTATTCTCTACACGATCGTGCGTACCGTCTTGAACGTTTTAAGTATCACCGAGAAAAGGAGATGCGGATGAATTGTATTAGGGATGCGTCGTAATTTTATTTTCGCGCCAAGAAAACGATCTCGTCGATCGGCCGCCTCGCGTATCTCGATCGGAGCTTCTTTTCTTTCTTTTCTCTCTCTCTCTCTCTCTCTCTCTCTCTTTCTCTCTCTTTCTTTCTCTCTGGATTTTTTTTAACCAGTCCACTAGCGAAAAGCGCGACGCGGTTCCTGAAAGAAGGATAGCGTGGAAGAAAGTAGTCTCCGAACGAGTAATTTGTATTTTCAATCTCGGAATCTAAGTGTTTCTTAAAAAATTGAGAGCAAACTTCATCTTACGCGAGTTTATGTAGCTCTAGTAAGCAACAATCTTAGTTTTAACAAATCATTTTTTGTACAGAAAAGTAAATTGGAAATATTTTACAATTTTGGCATACTGCGAGAAAACGTAGATTCGCGTTTGACAAGACGAAAAAAGAGGAAAGCGTCCGTCGAAATATTTCCCCAACGGGAGGGGTAGCGTGCGGGTTTGGCCATTTTAGAAAAAAAAAAAAACCTGTTTTCATAATGCTGTTTCCTTCGCTGATGAGAAAAAAAAAAAAGAATTATGATTGGACTTAGACCCGGTAGGATGCGCCGATTCTGTATGGAAACCCAAGTGGCGGAACATTATCGTTAGCATATAGTAACGTAACCTTTTTATTAACGTAGGATTAACTCTGACGTAAAAAACAAAAATGAAAAAAAAAAAAAGACGTGCTGTAGTCTGTAATAATCGCACTTTCGTTTTGTTCGAGCGTAGAGACTTGCTGTAAGCCTGTTTTTTTTTCTCTATTCTCCTACGCCTTTTGTTTTTGCTGAGGACCGACCGTTGTTTTTTTTTTCTTCAATTAAAGATTATATAAATTATAACCACGATATTGCTAATAATGATGAATATAATGTAACAACAACATGTATTTGTGAAATTCACAAGAAAAAAACGACGTGTACTGCGTGTTTCTTTAATTACATCACACCGACCGCTCTTCTCTCTCGCGACGTATCCTTTGCCAGCAACGACACCCAACAATCTACAAGAACCACTCACCCCCTCGCCATCCTTGTCGCACCACGAGAATCTTGATCGGGTACGAACGGACGTGCGCTTCCTTCGCTGGCTTCCTGCGCATCGCGCGCGCGCGTTTCCGCTTCGCTCAATAAAAAAAGAAAAGAAAATACCCCGTCAAAATTTCGATCGAAGACGCGCGCGGCGTGTTTGTCGCGTGTTATATTCTCTTTCTTTCTGCTGCCACCCCTCAAGTCTGATTGTCGATCCACAGATAGAGTTCTGCGACTTCGATGTTTCCTCCGTCGAGCTGCTTCTATTTTCATGTATTTATTACTTAATTGCCGGTACAGTGCAATCTCTAATGGTGCGAATCGATGAGCAGACTATTTTGATATTTTGATATTTTTTGATATTTTGATATTTTTATATAGAGATGTAAATTAGAGATCAATCAATTAGAGTTAGAAGTTTGTTTTATTACTATGATGTAGCGAAGATCTCTCTCTCTCTCTCTCTCTCTCTCCTCAAAATTAATTGATCAGATCAATTTTTGTACAATCTTAATCGCACATGTGAATAACTTCAGCAAAGTTGGAAAGTAATGCGTTATTTGTATTTGTCCATTAAAATATTTTTTCTCAAATATTTTTTTGGAGATTAAAAGATGTAGTAACGAGATATTTTTTGGTAACATATTTTTTTATTAGTAAGGCAATTATATTTTTTTTCCATAAGATAACAAATATAATTGTTATTCTTTGCACATATGTATAATTATAATGTCATTCGTGTATATAGTGTATATAGTAATAACGAGTCCAAACGAGTCAAATTTGGTGAAAAGTAACGGAAATTGTAATGACTACTTTTTGAGAAACGATAATGAATTATTTTTCAGAGGTAATTTTTTTCAACCTTGCTGTTTAGATTGGGTATCTTAATTTAGATAGATGTTGCACTTTATCATCAATTTTAGCATATAAAAAAATTAATATCTCTTTATCACATAAAAAAATTAATATCTCTTCATGATATATCGAAAACTATTTCACGTTTACATCCTGTCAACGAAAACGATTTCATGTGCACAGTCCTGTTTCGATGACTATTTTTTTCTCTTCTCTCGGTTCTGTCATGCAGCTATTTCTCGAAGTCTCCGTTTTTTACTTCCAAAAGCATTTTAGGAGCACCTCGGATAGGAAAAGTAGGAAACGAGACGCGGAGAGTGTCATGCATTGTAACATGCAATTTTTACACGAATAAATCTTTAAGAATTCTTGAATTTAAAATAATGAATAAATTACGCAACCGCGCGTTAATTGAATCGCTGATTGCCTCGTGGCGAACGTTAGAAATTTAAATTCATGGAAAATTCAAATGTGCGATGCATATCGGATAACGAAAGGATTTTTAGCATTCGTGTACATTATACAAATGCAAACTGTTCTAGAATCATCAAATTCCGCCAACCATATAAAATTGAATTGACTTTAAACGAAAATCTTATATGGCTTATATAAACGGCTATTATATTTCACATATTTTTAAATGTTGATTGTTTAAATTTTGAAAGGTTGAAAGAATTAAATTCTTTTAATAAATTGATTACTTGAGTCATTTTTAATACTCAAATTCCTAAATTTTCTGTCTAACTTTATCGTAACTTTTATATATTAAATTTAAAACATTTATATGTTTTTTCTGTCTAAAAGGAAGTCAGTGATTCTATAACATCTTTTCCACTTCCTGATGACGCAACACTCTTCGTGTGTCTTTGAAAAAGAGCTTTAGAATTTAACAGTGCGTTTTTTTTGGATCTTCCCTATACAAGATCTAATCTAAAAATTACAGCAGAAATAGTTCCTACATTTTCTTATAAAGTTCTTTGAGAAAGATCTATGTCGAGATCTTTGAGAAACTTCGTTCTGTTCGTATTACTGTCTCGATCTTGTTTTTAAGGCAATTAACTTTTAGGCGTGTCCGCTTCTCTCCTTCTTTCTTTGCTCCGTAATCGCTTTCTCAGTAGTCGAAAGCAGGGATTGCAACGCGTTATAGTTTCATAAAGTTCAGGTTTCGACGCTGTTAGTCGTCGCCGAGGAGCAGCGAAGTCGTACAAGACACGTTTTCTTAATCACAGCATCGGAAGTTGAAGTTGTCACGGAGATTATAGCGGCTTCGATCCCTGGTTCCTCTACTTCTGCGCTATCTTAAAGAATTTAAGGGCCATCTCGTGGCGAGATCCGCCGAGCACTAAGTGAAATCGCTCGTTGTATCACTGATGTTTTCAGACCAATTGGCACCGCGGATGAGGTGGTCGCGCACGAGCTAAACATATAGCGCGAATAAGTTGGTTCATCACGCATGCCCGGACGTGGAATACTAATCCTCCCTCTCTATATGCTAAAACAAGAGAACATCGGGAACTAATATCGGATTCCGATGAATCTGCCAACGTACCCTTCTCGCGTTAGTAACACGTACGAGATGAGGTTCTATTTTGTACGGTTTTTTTTTTCTCTCTTTTGTACGTAATTCTCGCTATTTACGTGTGTTTTTGCAAGTTTTTTTTTATTTTTTAATAAACATCAGAACATGTGCGAACGACGTCTCTCCTTGAATTGTGACTGAGAATTCACCCTTTCTAGCTGGCTCTCTCGAACTAGGCTGAATTTGTTCGTCGAAAGCGACTGTATCGTTTGTAGATTGAATCTCGAACTGAGAAGAAGAAGAAGAAGAAGAAGAAAAAAATCATTCAATCATCGCGCTTAATTTTTACAATTTCATATATAAATATATACTTACAGCTTAATCTATTGACATAACTTTCAGAGGTTGTCACTTTTCTTTCTTCTCCTCGGTTAAGCCACCGTCCCTGTTTCGTAAGCACGAGACAGAGATTCCTTTCCATCCTTCCGTCGCATTCATGTCCTTTGTAGTGCGGTTATCGTTCACCCGCATAAACTTTTGATCAAAGCCAAAGTTAAGGTAACGCTGCTTCCAGAGGTATCGAGCAAATGTGGAAGTAAATATAAATTGATAAATATCAGAATGAGAATATTCCTTTCGTTTTTTCTTTTCTTTTTATGTATCCTTTTATCCGACTTGTCACCGGTATGTACATTGGTAATGCTTATTGTTATGTGCCAGTCAAACTTGCAGACTCGGAGATTGAGCAGGTCTACAGAATCGGACTTGGCTGGAAGATCGCTTTTCCACTCAACCGGCGGCAGGGCAGAGGCGACCAGCCACGTTCTGTAACTTTGTCACGCAGTCACCTCTCTTCCCCCCCAAAGTTACTTTAAGAGACACTGCGTGTCCCGAGCAAGCCTCTCTCAGAGTGACTTTGGACACACGAACGTGTAGAACCAGGCACGCTACTCAATCATCTCTGCATTCTTGAGATGTGGTGAGCAAACTGCTGTCCGATAATACGTAGACTATTCCGACAAAAAGAGCAAAGCCGATCGGCCGATCTACCCCCCCTATGTCGGCGCGAGAGACAGCGACAGAGAGGAGGTCGGACCTTCTCCGGTCGGCTCGGTCGCAGAAGTTGCGAGTTTGATCGGTGCATAACGAGTAACGTCGACGCCCGTTAACTTTGGCTTCACCGATGCACGAAACCGTTTCAAGATCGAGAAACCCCCGGCGCATGATTGTCGATGAGAACGTATGCAAGATGCCTCAGAACCAACAGGTGTCCTGTAGTTCGGTACTTGATGTTACATCCTAAGAAAATTAATTCTAGGAATATAAGTTTCTTAAGAAGAATAGAGAGATTGGTAAAGACGAATTTGAATTTAAATTTATTAGCAGCTAAGATCGATGTCTTTCCCACAACTGGTTTTGAGACAGTCTTTGTAGCAACCTCTTCCATCTCCTCTTTTTTTTTTTTCAATTTTTTTTAGTTTCCCCCACTTCCCTCGCAACTAGCACTCGTGAGTATTGTACCGCTTAGGCGAACCCCTCCGACCCACGATACGTAGGCATGACGTACTTGACGAGGCTCGAGGCTACGGGTACGCGAGGAAAAAAGCAAAAGATAAAGCTGCGATATCAAGTCGCGCGCGTATGGCACACGCGTGCGGGAAAAAAATAAGACCCGGGAGCATGGAGTCACGCACACCGTGGAGCTTCGTCGGAATATATTCGATACGCGATGTATCGGCTATGTAATGCAAGCACTTCCTCGGAGGATTTACGGTAATGTCGGTGTCGCCGGATTAGTCGGATTAGCGACGGTCTGCAGCCGATGGTCGCAGCCTCGCTCTCGTAGCCCATACGTGGACATGCGAGATTCCGACGAGATATCGGCGAAAAACCGACTCGTCGTCTTCGTCGTCATCGCCGCCGTCTGCCTAGTCGCCGCTGTCTTCGTCGCAGTTGTCGCCGCTGTCTTCGTCGTCTTCGTCATCGTCCTCGTCGTCGTCGTCGTCGTCGTCGTCGTCGTCAACGTCGTCTGTAATAAAGTCACGCAGCCCGAGTTACAAACGGTTCGGAACACGCTGGCCGCCGAGAAGCTCGACGAGATGAGAAGTTCCGAGTCCAATCTGTAGCTAGATCGCTGAGATACATTTCGGACACCGCGCCGGCA